CCTAGTACACTGTGATCACAAAAATATGATGCCTCTAGTATTTCTTGAGGTCTTACTCAGCTAGGTAAATAATCGCCGGTTAGCCCATGCACACAGATACAACGTATACAATAATAGCTCCCTTAGCAAAGGTATAGTCAAGAAACAAGTTTGAGGCCATATGACGCATTTGCTATTAGATAGTGTGTACACATACACAAATGTCACCACCACTATACGTTTCCCCCACATTTCTCATAATCTCTGAACTCTTTACCCTCAGTGTATCTTTGTAATTATTCACACTAGATTCATCCAGTACTTTATACTCATCCCATATTCAGCACTTTATACTCATCGTATATTCATTTTACTTTCCAATCACAAGATCGTGCTTAATAAAGAACTTCCAGACTAAGTCCTTTCCACTCACAGCATAGAAATACAATTTCTAAACATGTATTATCATTTTCATACATCCTTCTTATTATGTATTTCATATGAACATAAAATTCTTACTCAGACAATTAATCAAACACTTATATCATCAGCTTTTCCTCATAAGTACTATTATTTAAACATATATTCTCATACAATAATCACGTAATAATGCTCCTGTTACTTTGCAGAATGCAACTCAAAAAGAGTCAACTAGCAAGTGTACTAGTGAGGTTGTAACAAGTTATAAAATATAGAAACACTTTTGACTCCCAAGTATTGTCCTCAGGGATTGGTTTTTCCAAGTATCAATTCACAAATTAACATCTAGTTGAGTCTTACAAATGTTTGGAAGATTTTCATTATATGAAAATTAGAAATGACAAGTGCAGAAATGTATGAACTTGAATTATAGTAAAGCTATGAATTTTGAATGTAGTTAGGGAATTACTTCACCAAATTTTCAATGACAATTTGATCAAGTTCTGAACTAGTAAGTGTTTTGGTTATTTGTAATCAATTGCACTTAGTTTTAACCAAAGGTCAATCCATTTGATGAATCCATATTTTTACTAATATTTTAGTGTAATTCTAACCCATTTGATAAGGAAAATATTTTAGAAAAAGCAGAAAAACTTAGAAAAATAGAATAGTTAAAGATTTTCCTTTAATATGTAGTTATTTTAGCATTTGTGAGATTTTTGCTTAGAAATTAATAATTTAATCTTGTTTTTGTAGGAATAATCTGAGTAAGGTTCATGGAAATGGAAAATCAATGGAAAGGAAGAAGAAAAGTAGCAATTCTGGACTCAAAGCACAAGAATTATGGAATGCAAGCTGGGCCTGATCACTATTGTCAATGAAAGTGATCACTCCAGGCATCAAAGAGGAATACACACTGGGCGTTAACACTCTTGCTGGCGAAAGTGAGTACTCCAGAAAAGCCTCAGATTTAGCGAGCTCTGCGTTACCACTTTTACCAACAAAAGTGAGTGTTCTAGAGAAGACTTAATTTTAGTGAGAAGTGCGTAACCACTTTTGCTGGCAAAAGTGGATGTTCTAGAGAGGAGTGTATCAAGGCAAGTTGTGCGTGGTCACTCTTACTCACAAAAGTGATCACGCGCAACCACTTGACCTCTTGCATTGCAACTCTTATCATCGAAAGTGATAGTTCCAATTTCTAGAAACTACATGAGCCTCTATATGGCCACTCTTATGAAGGAAAGTGACAACGCCCAGAGTCAGGAATTCTATAAATACCAGAATAAGCTCAAAACTTGGGGTCTTTTGTTCATTTTCCATTTTTTCTAATAGATTCTCGTTAAGAGTGAGTGAGAGAGAGGATTGGGGTTGAACGTCAAAGCTCCAAGAAGAGAAATTGGATTGGAGCTTGTGAAGATGGCTTCTTTGCGTTTCTTCTCTTCTTCTCCTTCTTTCTCTTTCTCTGTTACAATGTTTGCTTAATTCTTCGTAGTTAGGGGTTTATGGACCTTAAATTAATGTATTGATTCGCTTCTTACTTCTGAAATTTGAGTTCTTGGATTAATTGACTTGTTAATTCTGCTGTCATTTCAATCTTTGAATGGGAATTCATATGATTAATCAAAGAGGAACATTTGCCAATGGAAGTTGGATTTGCTTCTCTGATCTAGATTAGCAACCAAAATTAGGGATTTCTTAGGGATAAGGGAACCTAATTCTACAATCCTACGGTTCTAAATCTTAATGCAACTTGAAATTGAACTTCACGTAAGGGATTAGGGTGGTTTAGTTACTCGTTAGGGTCAATGATTTAAAGGATTAAACTTTGACTATTAATAAGAGAAACTGATTGTCAATTAATCAATTACTTGAATGTTCAGAGGCATAGTTGAATTGATATTAATATTCTAGTGAAATAAATTCCTAACTATCATTCATCCATTTCTAATCTCAACATCAAATTCCATACTCTGTTTTATGCAAGTTCTTTACCTTTTAATTGTTCTTGTTTCTTGTTTTCTGAATGTTACAACTCTTGCAAATTCTTATAGTTCAACTAGTTATTGTTCTGTGAATTGATAATTGATTTCCTAATTCCCTGTGGAGACGATACTCTGATCTTAAAAATTATTCATTACTTGCTGCAATTCGTAGTTCACTTGCTAGTGTTAGAGATTGGACAACACCATTGACTTAATAATCCTATTGTTCAACTTAATCACCCTAATTCCTTTGGTGTAATTCAATTAAACATTGCATTAAGAGTTAGAAATCATAGAATTACATGATTATGAGCACTTAATCCTAAGATACCATTAATCTTGGCATTTAATTCAAATATGAGAAACTAGTTCAATTTCTATTGATAAAAGTTCTCTAAGTTCAATTAATTAAATTGTCATCTAACAAATGCATTAAAACCAGAATAAATTGCTCAATCTAACTAGAAACTCAAAGTTCAGATCCAAATCTAACATCTCAAATTCGAACCCATAGATCCTTAACACAAGAGTTTAGAACAACATTACAAATGGAGAAAAGAAAGAAAGAGAAGAAGAAGAACTATAACACCTCAAATTTTGTAATAATATTTGGATTATTTGTATAAGTATGTGTATACATATATATATGTGTATTGTGATTTAAATGCGAATGTTGACTTGTGGTTGGGCTGAATTTGTTGGAGATATAGGTTGAGGTTGTGTTGCAGGGGTATTCTTGCAGTAGCGAGAAGGTCCTGGGCAAACTCATGTCTCTCGCTATAGCGAGGAGGGTGCAGGTGATGGGAGGGCCACTGTCGCGTTCTCGCTACAGCGAGAGGACTCTCACTGCAGTGAGAAGGCAACATAGGAGTATTTTTTTGGGCTTAGTCTCACTATAGTGAGAGGGTCTCACTGTAGCAAGATTATGCAAAGAACAAAGTGCAGTTTTGTCTCATATTTTTGCTGTAGCGAGAAGGGGTCTTGCTATAGCAAGGGATGCCTTGCTGTAGCGAGAATATCACGATTCTTAGGGTATTTGAGGGGTTTAGGGTTGGGGAAATGCATTTCTCACTCATTCCCTTCACCTTTCCTTCGATTCTCTCAACCCCTCATCCTATTTCACAGATTAAATATCTTCCAAGACCGTTTGCACCCTAGATTGAAGATTGTGATCGTGTTTTGGGCATTTAGAGATAAGTTTTATGAGTTAGAGTTTTTGTTTTCACTCTCTCTTTGTTTCCTTTGGCTTCTCATTGAGTTTTCCATGTATTTAGGAAGAAAATCTATACAGAGAGCAGTTCCACCATCGATTTTGTAGTGGGTCTTCATTCTAAGGTAAGGGGAGACTTTACCCTATCTCTTTGTGTTATAATTTATTTATATTGTTATGTAATGGAATGTGATTGAGATAGAACGTAGGAAAATGTGTGTTTTTAATGGAAATTTTGTTTTAATCATTATGTGGTAGATTTTGAATGATAGGTATGATGAAGTGCTTTAAATTGAAATAGGGTTATGGTAGAAAAATTGGGTGTTTGAGTATAATATGGTTGAATATATGCGTACATGCTATGTGTGAGAATGAATCCGATGATATGATTGAGAATATGAGTGAATATGTGTGAATAACATGTTGATTGTGATTGTAACGTGTTTGGAATGATTTGAACTATGATTGGTTACAACGATACACTGGGAGTGTGGAAGATGGGAGCGGTTGAAATACCTTAGAGAAAAGAGGGTGGTGGTGACATCAACAGTGGGCGTGGGTGCACCACAGGCCATACACTCTTCTTTTGAATCGGCCTTTGACTAATTCTTTTGGTAAGGGCCATGACCGCACACGTTGTATCCGTGAGGCGGGGGTTAACCGGTGACCATCCATGGTGTGAAACTTAGTAAGTCCTTGTGGTTGAGGGCGTAAGGAAACTATGATCACAGTGCCACAGTGAGCGTGACAAACGTTCAATGTGCACATGTGAGTGTGTGGAATGATTGAAGGTGCAGTGAGTGCACCTGTGTATGAATTGATATGTAAACATAAGTCTATGTTGTTTGAAAGAATGAATTGATGCTCGTTTAAAGTGTAATTTTATCATATTAGGATTGTTATGATATAGATAAGGTGGGTCTCTATGTTTGTGTGTGTGATAGTGTAAAGGACTCACCTTTAAATTTATTTTTCATGTCACAAGATAATCAACATCAAGCTGAGTGAAGGGATGGATGATACTGCTATAGGACTTAGAAAATTATTTTAAAACTTGTGGTGTATTAGATAGGTTTTGTAGCATTTATTTTGATTTCAGACATGTAACCTATCTCATATTTTGAAATACTTTATTTAAACGGTGTATTTGAAGTTATTTGAAAGGAAATTTCATTATTATCTTCTTTCTAATTTGCGAAAATATAATTTATTTGAAAATGATTCTTTGAAATTAATTAAGGTGTTACAACTTTTGTATCAGAGTAGTTCATCTAAACTGGACTGGGGTATTGCAGCTGATGCGTCCAAGTTGTGTGAATGTTCTTGTTTGCCTAAATTGTGAATGTTTATCATTGATTTGACCTGATAAATTATGGGTTGTTGTATTTGTTTGCTAGATTAGATTAAAAATGGCTGGTAGAGGTAGAGGAGTGGGTATCACCAATGACCTCCTAGAGCGGATGACTCAAGTTCTAGAGGCTTTTGTGCATAATCAAGATGGAGAGTCAGGTGAGTATAGAGGACTGTTTGCCTTCACTAGGCACAACCCTCCAAAGTTTGAGAAAAAGTTCGACCTAGAAGGAGCCCAAAGATGGGTGGCAAATGTGGAGAAAACCTTTCACTCCATATGGGGAGGTAGAGGACTGGTGGAGGTTTGCCAGTCAGACATTACCACAAGAAGGTGGCTACATTCAATGGGAGGCATTTAAGGCGAGGTTCCTGGAAAACTATTTTCCCCAAGATCTTAAGAAGCAGAAGGCACGAGAATTCCTTAGCTTAAAGCAAGGAAATATGACAGTGGGAGAGTATGCGGTGAAGTTCCAGGAGTTGATGAAATACTGGCCTCACTACCAATATGAAGATAAAGAAGAGGATTTGTGTGCTCAATTTGAGCATAGGTTGAGACCAGAGATCCATGCTGCAGTCAGTGTATTTCAGTTGACTGACTTGCCCACCTTGGTGAGCAAGTGCAGAATATTTGAAGCTAACTCGAAGGGAAAGACAGTGGACACCAGAGGGAGTGGTTAGATGAGGCAAGATCGAAAACCTCCTAGGTTCTCTAAGGGGCTATACTTGAGTTCCAGTCATTCTCAGTCCAGAGGGACTTCATCACAAGAAAGGAGTGATAGACGATGCTAAGTCGCTATCAAAACAATGAAGTTTTTTGAAAGATTTTGTAGTATAGAGCCAAACCTAGGTCAATTCACGAAGATACATTCTCAGTCAAATTCAATTTTAGATTTTCTTTTAGAAAATGCAAATAAGGTTTTTTGGGTTTTGAAAATTGCAAATTAATTGAATTGAATTACGAACAGAATAAAACTATAAATATAAACCTAAAATATGTTACATCAAATTCTCCCACAATTAAGACTTTGCCCTCCGGGGCAAATCACAAAATCAAAGCATGGGGGACTTAAAATATCATGGCTAAAATGGAAATCATTCCTCACACTTCAAATTTACTAATGAACTCATCAAACCAAGTGAATGAACTACAAAAGTTGTGTGCATCCCGAAACATAGTAGGCCAATATAGTCTAGAATCTAAGATCTTCTGGGCTGTATGCTGAGGTCCAAAGTGTCCACCACAAGCCAAGAATGGAAAAATCTAAGCACTGACTGGAACTCAAGGTCATACACACATCGTCTAATAACCTTATCACTGCATATGCACATCTTCTATAAGTATGGATCATCCTAAATATAGTATTTGGAATCATTCTTTAGCTTGGCAGTGATGAATCCACACTTTATAGATATTTTATTTGATTTTTATAAAGTTTTAATAGAAAAAAATAGATTTAGAGGCTGTAAATAACATTAAAATCTTATTTAGGTAGAAAACAATAGCTTTCTTAATTTTTGTCTTATTTCCATTAATTTTTGTGAATATATTTTGCAATTTTGATCATTTGAATAATTGTGCAGGGAATTCTAGACAAATTTCATGAATTTTTGGCTCTTTGAAAAAAATATGAACTGAGAGTAACTACTATCAGATACCAGAGTAATCACTCCAGGGAGCTGGTTTCAAGGGATAGGCCAGAGTAACCACTTTCAGATATTAGAGTGATCACTCCAGAAGCCCCAGACCCCAAGTGTCCTGCGCGTAAACACTCTCAGAAATGGGAGTAATCACTCCAGAGACGCCCAGAAGGAAGTGTCATGCGCGTGTTTACTCTCAGAAATGAGAGTAATCACTCCAGAAAGGGAAAAAGCTAAAGTTGCTGCGCGTGTTTACTCTCTTGTTTTACAGAGTGATCACTATGGGGCCATGTCAGACTTAGTATATATAGACTTTTAGAAATTAGGGTACGGGAGGCAATTTTCCTTAGATTCTTTTACCACTTTTGGAGCATTTTGCAGAGCTTAGGATTCTTGGGTGACAGCCAGGGATCCATTATAGGTTTTAATTTCCAATTTTCCTTGGATTCTCCTTGATTTTACATTAATGTTGCTTATGTTTCTACATTCTCTTCTTTCATTTGTGAAGCCCATCCATATGGAGGGCTAAATTCTCTTGTAATTCCTAGTCAACTCATATGGTTCTTGAATTCTTGAGTTTAATGGCAATATCACTCTTTCTTTCCTTGGATTTATTAACCCCAATCTTTGAATGAAATGAAATTTGCATGAGGGGAACATTGCTTAATGAACCCTAAATTACCCAACGAAATTCTAATCTAAAATTGCTTAATTTTGATTAATCTTTGAGATTGCTTAATCTTAGGGATAGAGAATTGGAGCCCATTAAGATGCTTAATTTTAATTGGGATACTAAAGTTAATTTTCGCTTGTTAAATTAACTTAATTCAAGGGAAAAATAGAGGATTATTGAATCATTTGAAAGAATAGGGATAGAACTCATTGATTGACTAGGGATTACTCTTTTTAATTGATTGAATTTCATTAGTTTACATTCTGTTCTTGATTAAAATCTAGAAATTGACAAACCTCCCCCCAATTTACTTGCTTTAAAATATATGTTTACACTTGTTCGATGTATGTTCCCAACCAAAAGTTCCTTGGAGATAACCTAGGACAACACCCTAGTATTGCATTTATATCTTGCATATTTGATGAGGATTAACGACAATCTTTGTGCATAACGAGTAGTGAAAAATCGTTCCATCAGGCAGCCTGAGCTTTGGAAAAGTATATCAGAATCTCCTTGGCAGCCAAATAATTCATTAAGTCTGCATACCAAGGATCATGCCCTCTAATGTTGTAAAGTTGCTCATCTGAAAAGGTGTCTCTAATGGAGAGATCCTCAAGTGGTTGTTGAATTCTGCTTAAATTGTGTGCTACTAAGTTCTCTGCACCACTTCTATCTTTGATCTCAATGTCAAACTCTTGCAAAAGAAGCATACAGTGAATTAGTCTCAGTTTAGAATCTAATTTCTTAAGCAAGTACCTCAGAGCTGCACGATTAGAGAAAACAATTACTTTAGAGCCAAGTAAATATGAACAAAATTTATCTAAAGCAAAAATAATGGCTAAAAGTTCTTTTTCTATAGTGGTGTAGTTTACTTGTTCTTTATCCAATGTGCGAGAAGCATAGGCTATAACATGGGTTGCTTCTCCACTTTATGACCAAGGACAACACCAACTGCGAAGTTTGAAGCATCACACATAAGCTCGAGCAGAATTTCCTAACTCAGAGGCTGAATGATAGGAGTAGAAGTGAGGCGCCTTTTTGGCTTATCAAAAGCGTCCTTGCAGGTCTGATCAAAGATGAAATCAGCATCTTTCTGCAAAAGGTAGATAATGGGGACACAATTCTGCTAAAATCCTTGATGAAACGCTTATAGAAACTTGTATGGCCAAGAAAAGAGCGCACTTCTTTCACATAAGTAGGGTAAGATAAAGAAATAATTACATCAATCTTTGCTCTATCAGTCTCAATACCTGTACTTGACACTACGCCCTAATACAGTCCCTTTGATCACTATAAAATGACATTTCTCATAATTTAAAACCAAATTGAACTGTATGCACCTATCTAATACTCTAGACAAGCTATCTAAACATGCATAAAATAAAAATCCAAAAACAGTAAAGTCATCCATGAATACTTCAAGTGAAGTGTTTAGGAAGTCTGCAAAGATGCTCATTATACTCCTTTGAAAAGTACTAAGCACATTACACAGTCCGAATGACATCCGTCTATAAGCAAACAAAGGTACCAAAAGGACAAGTGAAGGTGGTCTTATGCTAATCCTCTAGGGCTATGTGTATCTGAAAGTAATCAGAAAATTCTTCTAAAAAGCAGTAATGAGATTTCCCTGTTATCTGCTCCAAGACCTAATCAATAAAAGGCAGGGGAAAGTGGTCTTTGCGAGTGGCCTGATTCAACTTCCTATAATCAACACAGACTTGCCACTCATTCTGAATTTTGGTCAGAATTAGCTCATCAAACTGGTTTTCTGTGACTGTTATGTCGGTCTTCTTGGGTACAACATGGATCAGACTCACCCACTTGCTATTGGAGATCAGGTATATCATGCCAGCAGCTAACGTTTTGCTAACTTCTTCTTCACCACCTCTAGAAGGGTGAGATTCAACTTCTTTGGGGCTGTCTCACATGTTTTGCATCTTCATCTAGCAGAATTTGTTCATACAAGTGGATGGGCTAATTCTTGGAATGTCGGCCAAATTCCACCTAATTGCTTGCTTGTGGTCTAGTAAAGTTTGCAATAACTTTTCCTCTTGTGTAGCATCCAAATCTACTAAAATGATCATTGGCAACTTATTTTCAACCTCTAAAAATGCATACTTCAGGTGCTTGGGCAGAGGCTTCAGTTTAAGTGTAGGTGACTGCATAATAGAGGGAAGTGTTCTAGTGAAGAAGTCTAATTCTACAACATGTATCTGGCAGGTTCAAGGGTATGTGTACTTGCTGTAATCAAGCTAAAGCTTCCCAAACCTACTACTGCATCACATGAAACATCATCAGCTATTAAATATGCATCTATTTTAGCACACACTTTACACAAATCCACTAACAGACAACACAGTATAGCACAACTCAGTGTTGAATCCACATTTTACTAAATTTTTATACATCATTTATTACTTTTTATAAAAAAGAATAGACTTAGATAGTGTAAATAAGATGAATATTCCAATTAGGCTAAATAATATAGGTTTCTTAGTTTTTGGTTAATTTACATTGATTTAGATAGTTTATTTTACATGTTTTGATCATTTGAATAATGTGGCAGGAATCCCCAAGCTTATTTTGAAGAATTATTAGATTTTGAGGAATTTGAGGTGAAAGTAACTACTTTCAAGATTGATAGTGACAACTATAACAAGCCACTTCCAGCAAAGGGACCAAAGTGATCACTTTCAAAGCTTAAAGTGACAACTATAGCAGCCTAGAATCCACTAAACTTGCGCGTGGTTACTATGAAAGTTCATAGTAATCACTCCAAAACATGCAAAATTGAAGGTGCTGCGCGTGGTTACTATGAAAGTTCATAGTAATCACTCCAGAGAGGCAAAACCCAACTGATGCTGCGCGTGTTTACTATGAAAGAATGAAAATAATTACTTTGGAGGGCGCTAGCTTTAGTATAAATAGATTTTTGCCAAATTAGGGTAGAGAGTTCTTACACTTTTTGAACCTTTTCTCTTCTTTACTAAAATTTAGGACATTTTCCAGAGCTTAGGGCAACCTTGGGTGACAGCCAAGGGTCCAACCTAGGGTTTGGTTTCTCATTTCTCTTGCTTTTACATTAATGTTAATGAGTTTTTTGCATTTCCCAACTACGTTTTTGACCCCCATTTCCATGGAGTGCTAAATTTGGTGTAATCCTTAGTAAGTTCACACGGATTCTTGAGTTCCTTGATTTTAATAATAATATAATTTCTTTTTTCTCATGAATTACTTCTTCCTTGTCTCTTGAATTGAATTAATGGTGAATGAGGGGCTATTGCTTAACTAACCCTAATATGTTTTAAGGAGATTCTAAACTAGGGATTGCTTAATCCTAGGTTTAATTCTAAGGTTGCGTAACTTT